AGAGGGTGTAAGTTGGATATTGGCCTATAGTTATTCAACTCTGTTTGGTCTCCTCCTTTGTGGATCGGGGTGACCCTTGCTATTTTGAGAACTGTAGGGAAGGTGGAGGATTCAATGGATTTGTTAACCCTTTGAGGGTTTTCGTCGTACTAGTACGTCTTACGCGTAGGGGTTTTTGACGTACTAGTACTCATAAATTCTAGCGGCCTCAAATCTAGTGGGAGAAAGCTGGTAGGCCTTCATATGAAAGAATGGGTCTATGTGGTCAGTGTGCACAGTCTAAAAAAAATCCTGCAGCACACAGTGCATAATGAGAAAAAAAAAACTTTGACCATTTTTTTTTGAATAAATCAGCGACTTTGCAGTGTATTTTCGTATGGTATTTATTGTTGTATTCTAGTTTTCTTGGTCTCATTTTATAGAATGGAAGACATATTACAGAAATAGAGATGATTTTGACTGGTTTTACAAAGAAAGGTGCCTTGAAATTGAGCTCAAAGTAGCAGAAATGTTCGATTTTTACCAAACTTCAAAAGTAAACAAATCGTGCCAAGCGTGCAATACACGTCAACTGGTGAGTCTAATATTCTTTCACAAGTGCACCTATAATATTTTATACCATTTTTTACACTAATGCAGTAGTCTGCATAACAGTAAATCGTATATTTTTTTGTGAAAATAAAAATTCAAAGTGGAAAGCAAAAGAATATAAGAGGGGCCTTGAGACGTGAATAATGACTAGAGGAAATGTCATTTTAGTGCCAGGAATGTCTTTCTTGTTTATTCTGGACCCTATTCCGAAATTGGCATCTTTTGAAATTTGTGTGAAATTGGCAAAATTGCTAAATTCTGACCACTGTACTGGATAGTTGAATTTCATAAATGAGTGGTTTCTTACACCCATTCGATAGAAAAAATGGAGTTCTAGCGAAATATTCATGTTTTTTGTCGACTAGTACAGTGAAATTGGCCGAAAATGGGGCTCAAAGTGGGCAAAATCGCCGATGCGTAAACATCGCCGAGACCGCTAACTTTGCGAGAGCATAATTCCGTAAGTTTTCTATCAAATTTCAAACTTTTGGTGTCTTTATGATCGGGAAAAGATTCTCTATCTTTTCATAAGAAAAATAATTTTTTTTTTTTTTTAAATTTGGCCGACCCTGAGAACGAGTTTCGGAGAGGGCCTGTCGACCCTCAAAGGGTTAAAGAGTGTTGCAATGATTGGTGATAGTACTTGTGACGCTTTTTTGTATATAAAGAGTGGTAAGGTATTTAAATCTCCTGCCTTGTTTTTTAGTGCATTGATAATAAGGGAGACTTCGTATGGGTTCAGTTTCCACTCCAACACTGTATTCTGTATGTCTGTGGGTTCCGTTGCAGCTATCAATGAAGTTCTTCAGGTCAGGATTAATATGAGAATTTATTGTTCTGTATATGCAGGGTGCACTATAATAAGAGTGAATGTTTTGTATAGTAAGTAGAGTTAGGCCTTTGAAGAGTGGGGGAAGGGGTGTTGTCTGACAGTAGACTGTGTGACCATTCATTATTGTCTCTCTACAATACATATCTTAAAATGGCAGGCAGTATCAGCTACCACCACCACCATCTGCCATCGACATGTCAACATCAGTAAAAATAAGCAAAGTGTCTTTACTAAACTATACCTAATATATAGAAACAAATCACACTGATACCAAAGAAACACATGCTCAAGATAAATGCCAAAAAATGGTGTGGGAGGATTTTGCTGTTTTTTATATCTATGATGGCTTCAACCATATTAGCCCTTCTCCCAGTAGTGTGGAGGCTTCTGTGGCTCAGTAAAGTATAAGCTGTGCTTATTCAAATTAAATAAAATACAGTGTACAGAAATGATTGACACTTGATAATACATGTAGAAGTCCATGGTTATGCAGAGCATTTCTGGCAAGCTTAAGCCTAACTTAAGACTATAAGAGCAATAAACATTATACGTATTAGTATATATATATATACGTATATGTATACAGTGGACCCTCGAGTTTTGGCAACCTCAACTTTCGTGAAATTCGACCTTCGGCGAGTTTTTTTGGTAAAATTTGGCCTTGAGTTTCGTGATTAGACTCGTGTTTCGGCGACCGTCCGGTACCCGTCCGCCCATCACCGCGCACACCAAGCCAGTCTCTCATGCCATTCACGCTCAGTGTGCCATTGTTTACCAACACGTGACCATCACCCCTTGGGTTCATACAATATATTTCATAATAATCCATTGTTTTTTGTGCTTGCAACTGCTAAATAAGTCATCATGGACCCAAGGAAAGCTAGTGCAAGCCCTTTGGTAAATAAAGTGAGGAACACGATCCAGAGGGATTTTGAAGGGTTTGAGGCAGACCCTGTCCCAGCCGACCCTCTGCCTGTTGTGGAAGGTGTTGTGGCATTGGGCAAGTCCATGGGGTTGCAGGTGAGTGACAGGGATGTGGAAGAGTTGGTGGAGGACCACAGGGAAGAGCTAACCACTGATGAACTGCAAGAGCTTCAACTGGAACAGTATCAGGCCACAGCCAAGGAACTTGCTTCAGAGGAGGAGGAAAAGAGAGTGAAGGAGGTTCCTTCTTCAGTGATAAGGACATGTGTGGAATGTGGAATGAGTTGCAAAGTTTTGTTGAAAAGTATCACCCTGACCAAGCTGAAACAAGCCATATCTGCAACATGTACAATGACAGTGTTGTGTCCCACTTCAGGGAAATCTTAAAGAAACGCCAGAAAAAGACCTCTCTGGACAGATATTTTGTTCCCAGTGGCATTAAAAGAAGAAGGGAAGTAACCCCAGATAAGGACTTGCTACCTAAAGTCCTAATGGAAGGAGATTCTCCTTCCAAACAATAGTGTACACCTTCCTCCTATCCCCTCCTCCCATCTTCCATCCACCCAGAAGTCTTCAGTAAAGGTAAGTGTAATGTTATTATTATTTTTTATATGCATGTACTTGATTTCTCATTGATTTCAGTATATAAATCTTTATTTAATTTGAAAAAAAAAAATTATTTTAATATTTTTGGGTGTCTGGAATGGATTAATTTTATTTCCATTATTTCTTATGGGGAAAATGGTTTCGAGTTTCGTGAATTTCGACTTTCGGCAGGCTCTCTCGGAACGGATTAATCATGAAACTCGGGGGTCCACTGTATAAGGACATCAAAGGTATACACATAATAAAATTGATTTAGTGAATATGTAACATATGTACAGGAGGGACCTGGTTTATGGTGCTTTGCTTCTCTGCAATTTATTAATAAAGCAGTTTCAAATTGTGCATTCTGAAATATTTATGGAGCAGCTGATTTGCTATTGCAGTATGATCCTCCCAGCTGGGCATCTGCATGTCATTTTTCTTTCTCTCGGTTTGTTTACATCTTCTGTGAGCTCTGCATCTCTCTGGATTCTGTCTGGAATGCCAGAGTGAAGTTGCTGCTTTTTGCCCATCTTGTGGTATAGAAGCATGCTTCACGCTGTCCTTGAAGTGGATCCAAGTGTGGTACTTTGACAGTATTGGCCTTGTACATAACAGTAAGGCCACCCACATCCCTCCTGTGTTGAAGGCTCTGCTGAAATGACAGATCTATCCAGGATTGGTCCAGGTGAGAGATGAGACGTCTTGTTCTGTTCTCTACTCTGTCAAGCAGTCACAGATGAGAGGGGAGCCAGGCAAACCAAGGAAGTAGAGCATACTCAAGGTGTGAGCATTCTTGTGCCTCGTACAGAATCTTGCAACCCTTACTGTCAAGCAGATGTGAGATACCGTGAAGTGCTGTAAGCTTCCTGGCTGCCTTGTTTGCAAGATTTACATCATGGTTCTACATGGTCAATCTGGAGTCAAATTTCACCCCAAGGATATCAACTTCTTTCCCAGGTGCCAACACCCTCCCATTCATCCTTACTACTGCACCAGCATTACCATCATGGTGCCTAGAGACTATCATCATCATCATTTGTGTTTTCTTAGGTGCAAATGTTACACGCCATCTATTTCACTGGCATTAATTGAAGATTAAACCCAGTCACAATGTGCCTATAAGCTGAGCCATTATCCACGCCAAGGCCCTAAGTCTCTTCAATTCTGTGAAGGCTGGAAGAGGCCAGGAAGCTGCTTAAGATAAATTCAAAGCTAGTAGAGGCTTGTTTCACAGGTTTAAGGAAAGAAGCCAGCTTCACAACATCAAAGTGCAGGGTGACGCAGCTACCATAAACACTGTAACTGCAGAAAATTATCAGCATGAGCTAGCTGGGATAATTGTAGGTGGTGGATATACCAAGCAACAGAGTTTTAATGTAGATGAAACTGCATTAAATTGGAAAATGCCATCAAGGGCATTTATTACTAAAGAAGATAAATCAAAGCCTGGCTTCAAAGCTGCAAAAGATAGGCTAACACTCTTGCTAGGGGCTAATGCAGCTGCTGATTGTCATTATAAATACTGTGGACCTAGCAAGGGAATTAGAATTGAATGTGGAGCCTGAGGATGTGGAAGAACTGCTTCTCACTCATGATGGGGACCCTAACAGACCAAGATCTTTCTAATGAACAGCAAAGAAAGAAGTTTCTTGAAGATTAGATCCATCCTGATGATAGTTTTACTGCCATTACGGAAATGACATTCAAGGATTTGGAAGAAGCTATCAGCTATGTAGAAATGGCAATGGCAGTTCTTGAGAAAATTTATCCAAATTTCTAAAGTAGAAGTGAGTGCAACTCTTTCAGTGGTGTTGCATACTCTAAAGAAATTTTAAGGTAAAGTTCATTACAGCACTTCGCTTTATAGCATTTCGCTGATGCAGTGGTTTTTCAATTTTACCCATTCTTCACTTATTTAAACTTCCTTCTTGGCAACCTTTAACAGCAACAGTTAGCCTTGAACATCCTTCACCGTCAACAACAACACACTCTTGCAAGAGCTTCATGTAAGTCTCCTCAAAAATAAAATTCGTTGAAGAGTAAGTGGCTGAAGATGTACCGTCTCCTTCTGGCTTCCTTCAATAAATACTACTCACCACTTACTATAAGCCAATTTTTTATTTCATGTCATTCCTGTAGAGACCTAGCATCAGACTGCATGATGCGCCGTGTCATAACTATGGGAATTTCTTTGTACTGGATAAGAAATATGCTAATATCTTCTCAGGGAATAAAGTTATCTTAATAATGCAGATAAAATCTTGTTTCCTATGTACTGTAAAGTAATACGATATGGTATTTTGAAAATATTTCTGTTTTTGCTTGACTTTCTCCTGCAGTTACCCAAGAAGGCACCTTGCAATACTGTACCTGTACTTCAAAACTACGGTTACATCTTTTAAGAAAAGAGAAGAGTTGGAAAAATCCCAGCATCGCCATGGAGAAGGAAGATAACAGAGTTACCGAGCCTGGAGCAGTGAGCGTGCAGAGCAGTCGCTCAACTGCTCCACAGATACTGACTCTTAACACAAATAAGGCTGGAATGGAAGGTACTGTATAACACTCTACATCTGCCTTACATTAGCTGTTAGGTTGGGTTTTTAAATACAGTGGACCCCCGGTTAACGATATTTTTTCAATCCAGAAGTATGTTCAGGTGCTAGTACTGACCGAATTTGTTCCCATAAGGAATATTGTGAAGTAGATTAGTCCATTTCAGACCCCCAAACATACACGTACAAACGCACTTACATAAATACACTTACATAATTGGTCGCATTCGGAGGTGATCGTTATGCGGGGGTCCACTGTATTTGTATTTGGCAGTGTTTAGAGTGCTGGTGGCCATTAACCCTTTCAGGGTTTTGGCCATACTAGTACGGCTTACGCACCAGGGTCCTTGACGTACTAGTACTCATAAATTCTAGCGCCTTCAAATCTAGTGAGAGAAAGCTGGTAGGCCTACATATGAAAGGATGGGTCTATGTGGTCAGTGTGCGCAGTATAAAAAAAATCCTGCAGCACACAGTACGTAATGAGAAAAAAAAAACTTTTGTAAATGACCATTTGTTCATTAGCTGCCTTTCTTATTGTACTTATGATTGTAGCTGACTGCATAAAAAGTCCTACTTAACCGTATACGGTCCAAACGTATATATGTGTTCTCTCCCCCAGTGCTTTGAATATTTTGAAAAATAAAAAATTCTTTTTTTTTTTATTGAAATAAAGAGAAAATTTTCCAAGTGTTATAGGATTAAAGTAATAAAAAAAATAGGTTCAGTACTTACTGAGATATGAGGCTGCAAAGTTGGCACTTAATGCTCACCTGACGGCAACATCAAGTCCTGCTGCTAGCAGAAGTGTTGCCGATATACCATTTTTTCTCATTTTTATATTTTATATAATTTTTATGTTCTGATAATTACAATTTATTGTAGTTCTTGTCATTTCATAACCAATCTTTGTCCTGACACTAATATTAGGTACTGAAATTGTACTCAAATTGTCACAAACACATTGACAGGTGGACATTTACACCTGGCTTGGTCATTTACTATTGTCTAGGAATATATATGCAAAGTATTTATAGGTCCCAGCAATATTTTGGATACACAGGAGTATAGAAGGAGGAGAAGGAAGAAGGAAGAAGTTCCCTGAAGCAGTGATAAGATGAGATAAGTGATGACATTTGATGGGTGCCAGCGAGGGTGCAGAGATAAGATGAGATAAGGGATGACATTTGATGGATGCCAGTGAGGGTGCAGAGATAAGGGATGACATTTGAAGAGCTGGTATCTCTGTCTCTGATTATCTGTCTGTCTGCCTTGTCTCTGTCTGCTTGTCTCTTTCCATCTCTCTGCTTGTCTCTCTCTCTGTCTCAGAGAGAGCCACTGTGAACCAACAGGTATTCTTATGCATTCCATACCCCCGGCCGGGATTGAACCCGCGGTCATAGAGTCTCAAAACTGCAGCCCGTCGAGTTTTGAGACTCTATGACCGCGGGTTCAATCCCGGCCGGGGGTATGGTTTGCAATCGTGTCATTACGATTTCTTAAGTCATTCTTATGCATTATATCTAAAAGCACTGTATAGCACTTTGGATTTTTTAGGTTATCCTAGGTAATTTACACTATGTATAATTGTATTTGTGTGTACCTGTGAGATAGATAAAAAGAGATAGAGGACAGATAGACAGAGACAGACAGACAGTGATAGAGATAGACAGACACAGATAAACAGAGGTAGACAGAGACAGATAGACAGACCCTGAACTTGGGGTTAACATCAATTTCCTTTTAAAAGGGGAGTGTTAATATGACATTACATCAGTGAATCCTTGGTGTTTGCCGCACTGTTTGCACTAGCTGGCGCTCAATTTAATTGGCACTCCAAGATTTTTTTAATATGGTGCACACCGAGTGTTAAGACCCATTCTGTGCTGACCAGGCATCTCAGGCCAATCATGGCAAATTTGGAGGCAGGAAAAATAAAACGTATATATACATTTGGGGCACTAGCGGTAAGAATGTATATATACATTAGGACCGTTTAGGGGTTAATAATCTATGTCTAGATCTTAAGTAACATTTAAAAATTAAAATTAGTTTTCCCAAAATACATTGCATGATTAGTGGCTTCCGTTTCTGTCTACCAATATTTTATTATATGTAAACTACTTTGTTTGTGCCTCATCAAGAAATAAAATATGTATTGAATTGTATTATCTACATCTTAACAATTTTGAGTAAGACACATGGACAACACTTGGGTATATGTATTTATTATTGCAATGTTTTGCCTACTCTGCAGGTAATTGAAAAATGTTCTGAGCAGGCAAAATATCTTGTCAATAAACATAAGAACATAAAAAAGGAGGAACACTACAGCAGGTCTATTGACTCAACAAACAAAGAGAGATAGTAGAGGGCAATGAGTGACTAGCTCCCTTAAGGTTTATTATACAAATAGTAGGAGTCTAAGAAATAAGATAGATGAGCTAAGATTACTTGCAAGTGCAGGTAATATAGATATTATTGGTATAACAGAGACCTGGTTCAACCTGGAAGATAGAGAAATGCCTTCTAAATGCAACATACAGGGGTATAAACTATTCCACACTGATAGGGTCAACAGGAAGGGTGGTGGAGTGGTGATGTATGTCAGAGAAAATTTAAATTGTTGTCTTAGACATGATATAAGATTAGAAACATCGAACACAGAATCTGTTTGGCTACAGTTTCTCGAGAGATGTGACAAATTCATTTTGGGTGTGATTTGTAGGCCCCAAACCTTGATAGGGAGTGCAGTAAGCTGTTATGGGACAAAATTCATAAGGCATCTTGATATGAAAATGTTGTGATAATGGGAGATTTTAACTTTAGACAAATTGATTGGAACTATATGACAGGAAATCTTGAGTCTAGTGACTTTCTTGATACAGTTCAGGATTGCTTTTTAGAACAGGTTGTGACAGAACCAACTAGAGGAAACAATCTGCTTGACTTGGTTCTTGCCAACAAAGATTCACTAATTAATAATCTTGAGGTTAATGATGAGCTTGGGGAAAGTGATCACAAATCACTTAGTTTCAATATATCATGGAATTACCCAGATAACTGCAATCAAATCTCTGTCCCAGATTTTCGCTTGGCCGACTTCATGGGACTGAAAAATTGCCTGGGTGGGTTAAATTGGGATGTCCTGACTATGGGTCAGGTAGGTGATCTTGGTTGCCAATATGACGTTTTTTCAGAGCATAGTTCTAGCTGCCCAGACAACTTTTGTTCCGAGTAGGGAAATTAGATCTAACAAAAATGATCCCAGATGGATGAACAATAGATTAAAACATCTCATTGGTCAAAAAGAGAGGCATATATAGGCATATCAAAAGAGGGGATGGGCAGTTAAGAAATCAATATATTCAATTAAAGAGAGAAATAAAAAAAGGAATAAGAAAAGCAAAAAGGGATTTTGAGGCTAAGGTCGCAAGGGATTCAAAGACTAACCCAAAAGGGTTCTTTCAGGTATACAGAAGTAAGATTAGGGACAAGATTGGCCCACCTAAGAGTAACTCTGGTCAGATCTCTGACAGTGATAAGGATATGTGTGAAATTCTCAATACCTGCTTCCTCTCAGTTTTCACTCAGGAAAATACTAGCAATATTCCTGAAATAATAGATTACCTAGAACAGGATAATAAACTATGTACAATTGCGATAACTAGTGACATGGTCCTCAGACAAATAAAGAAACTAAAACCTAACAAATCCCCAGGCCCTGATGAACTGTTTGCCAGGGTGTTAAAGGAATGTAAAGAGGAACTTAGCATACCTTTGGCTAATCTTTTTAACATATCACTACAAACTGGCATAGTGCCTGATAAGTGGAAAATGGCAAATGTAATACCTATTTACAAGGCAGGTGACAGGTCCTTGGCTTCGAACTATAGACCAATAAGCCTTACCTCCATAGTGGGAAAATTTATGAAATCAATAATTGCCGAAGCAATTCGTAGCCATCTTGATAGGCACAGATTGATTAATGAATCTCAACACGGTTTTACAAAGGGGTGTTCCTGTCTTACAAATTTACTAACTTTTTTCACTAAGGTGTTTGAGGAGGTAGATCATGGTAATGAATATGATATTGTGTATATGGACTTCAGTAAGGCTTTCAATAGAGTTCCACACCAGAGGCTATTGAGGAAACTTGAGGCACACAGAATAGGAGGAGAAATTTTTTCCTGGGTAGAGGCGTGGCTGAGAAATAGGCAGCAGAGAGTTTGCATAAATGGGGAGAAATCAGAATGGGGGCACGTCACAAGTGGTGTTCTTCAGGGGTCAGTGTTGGGCCCGTTGTTGTTCACAATTTACATAAACGACATAGATGAGGGAATAAATAGCGACATAAGCAAATTTGCTGATGACACCAAAATAGGCTGTCCAATTCATTCTAATGAGGACATTAGAGCACTCCAGGATGATTTGAATAGACTGATGCAATGGTCGGAGAAGTGGCAGATGCAGTTTAATATTGACAAATGCAAAGTTCTAAATGTTGGACAGTTAAATAACCATGCCACATATAAACTAAATAATGTAGATCTTAATACTACTGATTGTGAAAAGGATTTAGGAGTTCTGGTTAGCAGTAATCTAAAACCAAGACAACAGTGCATTAGTGTTCGCAATAAAGCTAGTAGAATTCTTGGCTTCATATCTAGAAGTATAAATAATAGAAGTCCTCAGGTTGTTCTTCAACTCTATGTATCCTTGGTTAGGCCTCATTTAGACTATGCTGCTCAGTTCTGGTCACCGTATTACAGAATGGATATAAATGCTCTGGAAAACGTACAAAGGAGAATGACAAAGATGATCCCATGTATCAGAAATCTTCCCTATGAGGATAGACTGAGGGCCCTGAATCTGCACTCTCTCGAAAGGCGTAGAATTGGGGGGGATATGATTGAGGTGTATAAATGGAAAACAGGAATAAATAAAGGGGATGTAAATGGCGTGCTGAAAATTTCCAGCCAAGACAGGACTCACAGCAATGGTTTCAAGTTCGAAAAATTCAGATTCAGGAAGGATATAGGAAAGCACTGGTTTGGTAATAGAGTTGTGGATGAGTGGAACAAACTCTTGAGTACAGTTATTGAGGCTAAAACGTTGTGTAGTTTTAAAAATAGGTTAGAGAAATACATGAGTGGGTGTGGGTGGGTGTGAGATGGACCTGACTAGCTTGTGCTGCTGGGTCTGGTGCAGTGCTTCATCCTTGAGTGGAGGTGACCAGACTGGGTGGGTCATTGGGCTAATCCAGGGGGGGGGGGGTCATTGGGCTAATCCGGGGGGGGGGGGGTCATTGGGCTAATCCGGGGGGGGGATATGGACCTGCTCCGCATGGGTCAGTAGGCCTGTTGTAGTGTTCCTTCTTTCTTATGTTCTTATACCAGGCAATACTTATGTGCAAAAACATTCCCAACTGTTGCACGTGTCTTGCTTATTTACTTGCAACTACTGTATACCATTAATATAAGACTGCTTTGCTAGGCCTTTAAACATCAGTGACCTGCCTGACAAGGTAATCAGAAGTGGAGTTTGGCCTTGAGCCAGGCTCTGGTATTAGGAAACTTCAATATTTTCTACTATACATCTCTGTGAAATGTCTCTTTCAGGATTGGATACTGAAAGAATTAATGAGATCATAAAGACTGCGTCTGAGGGATCACGTTTTTACCAGCACAAGCAGAGGTGTCAACAACAGTTGGACAACAAGATACTGAGCTTGAAGCAAGCGGCTGCCTCCTTTACTCACCAACACATTATGAAAGCTACTTTACAGGCAAGCTTTTTTATTATGTAACTTTATCATGTTTCTCTCCCTAAGTGTCTTCACTAATGTTCTTTTATTACATATCTTTTCAATACAACACAGTATAATTTTTACTTCTTTATGTGGTACAAATAATGTAATTTAAATGTAATAAAACTTTGGTAGGTGGTACAAAAGAAACCCACTAATTACACAGTGCATTTTGGGTAGCTAATCATGATGCTTAATTGTTACTGAGGAACCAAATATAAAATATTAAGTAGGGCTTTTTGTGAAGTTTACTACAATCATAAGTACACATCACAAAGTCTTGAACCCATGGCAAGTTAGTCTTGAACCTCATAGGCCAGTGTGTTAAGTACCGTGAGAAAGGTAGCTAATGATAAATGGCCAATTACAAAAGAATTACATACAATAGACTTTCGTTTAACCCTGTAGTTACGTTCCTGAAAATGCTGTGTTAGGCAAAACTGTGTTAGACAAACTGAAGGACTTATTGGAAAAATAAGGTTACGTTTCTGGTAGCCCCCAAAAAGCCAAACAACTTTTTTTTTTGATCGACAGATCTTACAAAAATAAAAGTGAATATGTAATTGTAGTTCATTGTCGTGATGTATTATGTTGATTTTACTGCTTAAAATTACAAGTCCAACAGAAATAATAGTATTTCTTATATTAAATTGTGGGTGCTGATGTTTGTGGAGAGTTGTGCTATGGCCCTACTGGGCTGAGGTGGATGGTAGAGGTTCTGGTACTGAAATCGATGGTTGTATTGGAGTGTGCATAAATCAGTCAAGTCAGTCAGTCAATCCAATAAGTCAGTTAGTCAAGTCAGTAAGTCAGTCAGTCAAGTCAGTATGTTAACCAGTCAAGTTAGTAGTAAGTCATTTAAGTCAGTATGTCACTCAAGTCAGTAAGTCAGTCATACAGTCAGTCAAGTCAGTAATACAATCAGTCAATAAGTCAGTCAGTCAAGTCAGTAAATCAGTCAGTAAGGCAGTCAGTAAATCAGTCAGTAAGTCAGTAAGGCAGTCAGTAATACAGTCAGTCAGTCAATAATTCAGTCAGAAAGTCAGTCAGTCATCACACAGACTCATATTTACCTCATTTTTTTGTGTACAGAGTGACGTGTTCATTATGGCCACAAGTTATCTCTTGTCTGATATCTCTGTTTTCTTCGTTAATTCTAAGACTAACCTTTTCTTGCCATTTTCAGCAACACTTGTATATGCCTACTGGGTGCCATGATTGCTTGGCAGATTTCAGATATGGCAATTAAAATAGTATGTATCTAAACAAACACAGCGTGCTCCCTCCTAGCACAGAATCATCCAACAGCAAACATGTACAAACCGGGCTTGGAGGGTGGCGGGAGATGGCGGTAGGTCTCCCCTGTTGACTCGGTAGTGTAACCGACCGCTTGCTCAAAAATTTTTCCCTTCCCGCAACCGTGTTAAATTAATTTTATGATGTGTTAAACAAAATATGCCACAATTCTTCAACTGTGCTATAACCAAAATGTGCCAGACAAAACCGTGTTAAATGATGATCTACTGTATTTCAAACTGATTCAGTGATCTTCAGTTTTGAAGAGTGACTGAACAGAGATGGTGAAGATACAGGAAGTTACTTAGCTACAGTAGAAATTCAATAGGGCATACATAATTGGTAATCCAATTATGTATGGGAGTTGAAGGAAGGTTGGAAGAAGAACAAGGACAGAATTGGATGAAAGCTGGCTTTGTCTGACATAGTAAATTGCTGTCTCAATTACATTGGAGATGAAGTGCTTTTTAACCCTTTGACTGCCGCGATCCCAAATCCTAAATTGTCTCTCTGTGTCACAAAATTTTTGAAAAATAGAGAATTTTTTCCTGATGTTAACCCTTTGACTGTCGCGGCCGTATATATACGTCTTACGAGGTACCGTGTTTGACATATATATACTCATAAATTCTAGCGGCTTCAAATCAAGAAGGAGAAAGCTGGTAGGCCCACATGTGAGAGAATGGGTCTGTGTGGTCAGTGTGCACCACATAAAAAAAATCCTGGAGCACACAGTGCATAATAATAAAAAAAAGACTGACCGTTTTTTTTAATTAAAATGCCGACTTTGTGGTCTATTTTCGTATAGTATTTATGGCTGTATTCTCGTTTTCTTGGTCTCATTTAATAGAATGGAAAATATATTATAGAAAAAGAGATGATTTTGATTGATTTTACTATAAAAAACCTGGAAATGGAGCTCAAAGTAGGGGAAATGTTTGATTTTTGCCGATGTTCAAAAGTAAACTAATGACATCATTGTCCAATAAATGTCCAACTAGCCATTCTAATATGCAGTCATGAATGGGTTGATGTTATTTATACAATTATTATAGTATTGGAGTAGTCTGCATAATAGTAAATTTTCTATTTTTTGTTTGAATAAAAATTCAAAATAGAAAGCAAGAGTAATATCAGAGGGGCCTGGAGACGTGACTGATGAACAAAGAAGATGTTATTTTAGATCCAGGAATTTCTGCATTGTTCATTCTGGGCCTTATTTTGAAATTGTCATATTTTTTAATTTTCGTGAAATTGGCCAAATTGCAAATTTCTGACCACGTTATTGGGTAGTTGAAATTGGTAAATGGGCAGTTTCTTGTACTCAATCGATAGAAAAAATGGAGTTCTAAAGAAATAGCTATGAGTTTGGTCGACTGAAACAAAGGAATTAGCCGAAAATAGGGCTCAGAGTGGGCGAAATCGCCGATTTGTAAATATTGCCAAGGTCGCTAACTTCGCGAGAGTGTAATTCCGTCAGTTTTCCATCAAATTTCGTTTTTTTGGTGTCATTACAATCAGGAAAAGATTCTCTATCATTCTGGGCCTTATTTTGAAATTGTCATATTTTTTAATTTTCGTGAAATTGGCCAAATTGCAAATTTCTGACCATGTTATTGGGTAGTTGAAATTGGTAAATGAGCAGTTTCTTGTACTCAATCGATAGAAAAAATGGAGTTCTAAAGAAATAGCTATGAGTTTGGTCGACTGAAACAAAGGAATTAGCTGAAAATAGGGCTCAGAGTGGGCGAAATCGCCGATTTGTAAATATCGCCTAGGTCGCTAACTTCGCGAGAGCGTAATTCCGTCAGTTTTCCATCAAATTTCGTTTTTTTGGTGTCATTACAATCAGGAAAAGATTCTCTATCATTTCATAAGAAAAAATAATTTTTTTTTTTTTTTTTTGAGGGACCTGACCTTCCAACGACAACATTCTTACCTCTACTAGTGGCCTACATCTCACCTCCTGGCGTTATATAAGGCTCCATTCTGTCACTTCAACTCCATATTGTTTCAGACTATGGAACAATACTCTTCTCCAGACTGAGGGACTGACCACCTCAAAACTTCAAGGGTGATGGACTGATTACATCGTCTTCAAGTATCTTCTGCTTCTATAAACTTTTCTGTACTCGACTGAAGAAGCCTACTGTGTAGGCGAAACATTTCGAAATAAAGATACCTAACTGTTGTGTATGTGTTTTACCTAACAACCTGTCGGTATTTTATACCATTTGAATGTTCACTTTGTAAAATCTACATACAGTGGACCCTTGGCTAACAATATTAATCCGTTCCTGAGAGCTCATCGTTAGATGAAATTATCGTTAGCCAAATTAATTTTCCCCATAAGAAATAATGGAAATCCAATTAATCCGTTCCAGACAGCCAAAAGTATTAAAAAAATTATTTTTTTTTTCATGAAATATACATTTCCCTACAAAGAAAACAATGAGTCATGCATAATAACTATATAAATAAATGTTAAAATGACACTTACCTTTATTGAAGAGTAATGAGTAATGAGACTTTGTTTTTCTTGAACACTCTGGGATTTTCAGTGATACATGAGTAAAGGCTTCACTTTGCAATCCCCACTAGCATTACAACAAAACAAGAAAATTAGCCTGTCTTTCATAGGTTTGTGTCCTGGAAGTGTCTTTTCCTCCTGAGTAATGTAAGTCCTGTTTGGCATTTGCTTCCAGAACAGGCTTGTTTCGTCACAGTTGAACACCTGTTGGGTTTGGAATTTTTCAGCTTCGCCATGCCTTATCACACTGTGTATGCCACTACGATTCTTAAATCTCTCAAACCAACCTTTGCTGGCCTTAAATTCACCAATATGAGCACTAGTTCCAGGCATTTTTTCCTGTTCACCTGGGTGTTAGTCGACTGTTGTGGGTCGCATCCTGGGGGACAAGATTAACCCTTTCAGGGTTTCGGCCATACTAGTATGGCTTACGCACCAGGGTTTTTGATGTATTAGTACGCCTAAATTCTAGTGCCCTCAAATCTAGTGAGAGAAAACTGGTAGGCCTACATATGAAAGAATGGGTCTATGTGGTCAGTGTGCGCAGTATAAAAAAAATCCTGCTGCACACATTGCGTAATGAGGAAAAAAAAACTTTGACCGTGTTTTTGGATTAAAACAGCGACTTTGCACTGTATTTTCGTATGGTATTTATTGTTGTATTCTAATTTTCCTGGTCTCATTGTATAGAATGTAAGACATATTACAGAAATTGAGATGATTTTGACTGGTTTTACAAAGAAAAGTACCTTGAAATTGAGCTCAAAGTAGCAGAAATGTTCGATTTTTACCAAATTTCAAAAGTAAACAAATCATGCTATGCATCCAATACACATCAACTAGTGAGTCTGATATTCTTTCACAAGTTCGCTGATATTATTTATACCATTTCTACACTAATGCAGTAGTCTGCATAACAGTAAATCTTCTATTTTTTTGTGAGAATAAAAATTCAAAGTGGAAAGCAAAAGAATGTAAGAGGGGCATGGGGACATGACTAATGAACAGAGGAAATGTTATTTTAGTGCCAGGAATGTCTTTGTTGTTTATTCTGGACCCTATTCGGAAATTGGCATCTTTTGAAATTTGTGTGAAATTGGCAAAATTGCTAAATTCTGACCACTGTATTGGATAGTTGAAATTGGTAAATGGGTAGTTTCTTGTACTCTC